ATGGTGTTAAATTCCTTCACTATTTTGTAATCTTAATATTTATTGGAAGTAGGAATCAATTCTACATATACACAATATTATTCAAATCTGATTACTGTCATGATGTACCTGCCTTTCTCATTTAATATGCAACTTAGAAATGTTAACCAGGATATCAGTTTAAAAAGAAAAAGTGCACAATAAATGTCACAGAATCTGGACAGAGCCATTATTGTTTATAGTAATAGTGGCCATTTTCCACTTATCCCCTTTTTTCTAGGAGACAGAGACTACTTCTTTGATAATGCTAAAGAGTGGCCATTTATTGTTTGTATTTGAAGCACTTCCATTTTTCACTATATATTGACTTTTTTATCGATATGCTGCAGCTGAGCATGTTTCCTTCCTGTATTCTTCTGCCAAGAAAAGAAATGGGAGTTAGAGGCAAAGGGAATAAGACATAGAAGTGAGTAAACACATCGCTCTGCTTACTGCTCTGTGCTTGTTAAATGTTTAGAGTTGAGCATCTGGATGTTACTATTAAGTAATTAAATATTAAGTTTTACTAAACAAAAAATTGCAAGGGAATTTTTGGCTTTACAGTAAATTTATAAAAGCATATGAATTAAAGTTTCTGTAATCTGCTCACATAAAAATTACACAAATCAAACATAAGTGCTCAGCACTAATTACTGCTAAACTTCTTACAATATCACAAATATTCTATTCAATTTTCTAAATGAAAATTTTATATTTCAAATAACTGAAATTGAAAAACATTAGTAATTCACTTGTTAAGATAAAAACTAGTTTGTTTCTTTTTGAAATAGTCAGAAAACCCTTAATGAAGTTATAAAATAGCAAGCATTATTTCCATTTTACAGAAAAAGAAATGAAAATAAAACCAGCATGGTAAAGTATCTCTTTCATTTAAAACATTGTTTGAAGATTTTCAAATTTTTGCATTATAACTAATGTGATGACTGCATTTTTCCAAATGACTAAAATCCTAAATTACTTAAACAAAATAAACACAAACTGTTTTAGTGGTATTCTTCAAACAATGCCAATGATATACTATTCTTCAATGATTACAGTGACATCTATATCTTATCATTGTGGTTATAAAATTTGGGGTGTTAGCACTGCCTTATTTTCTTTTCCTAAGAACTTTCTATAATAAAATTGACCCTTAGATTCTTCATTGGTGGATTCAACTCATCATGGATTAAAAATATTTTTAAAAAGTGTATCTAGGGCTGGGGATATAGCTCAGTTGGTAGAATGCTTGCCTCAAGTGCACAAGGCCCTGGGTTCAATCCTCAACACCACCAAAAAAAAAAAAAAGTGTATATATACTGAATATGTATAAGCCTTTTTCATTGTTATGATTTCCAACACAATAGAGTACAATAACTATTCACATAACAGTTACATTTATCATGTTTTAAAAGTAATCTAGAGATTACCATATGGGACTTAAGCATTTATCGTTTTTGATACCTGTGGGCATCCTAGAACCAATCCCCCATATACCAAGAAATAGCTCTTATATTTGTGTGTGTGTGTGTGTGTGTGTGTGTGTGTTTGTGTAGCATGTGCCCAGTTAACATTGGCAGTTGAAAATATAGATCTAATATATTCAAAATTATTTAAACTGTTAAATAGTTCTCCAGTAAGCTTTATGCAAAGTTCAAGTATGAAATGTAATTATATTTCAAGAGTATAATATAAGATATATTTAGAAAGTAAATGGGAAAAAGGTAGCCAATTGGATAATTAAGGTCCAAGCCAATAAACTGAAATTGCCAGTCAATTGAGGTAAAAGGGTTGCACTGGGTTTTAAAGATTTAAAGAAAATCTAAAATGATTTTTCCACTTTTTAAAATTTCATTTTAAAATTATAGTTCTTCAACACAGCATCTATTATTATCTTAACTCTCCAATGTTGTTGTTTTTTTCCCCAAAAAATTCAATCACATTTTGATAGGTCACAACCGAGTCAATGTCAGTTTATGTTTCAGATTACAATATAATTTGCTTTTCATGAAATCAAAATTTGAAGGTATTTCTTCAGATTTTAACTCCAAGAAGAAACATCTTATATGTACTATATGTTCGTTTTGAAAATAACATTTTGCCAACACTATAGATAAAAGAAAGTGCCTGGTGATTATATAAAACCTGTTTAATTTTCCCCCTCTTCCTTTTGTTCAGGGCTAAATTGAGGTAAATAATGTAACTTTAAAAACTTGAATATGCTTTTGCTCTAATTCTGTTAATAGCATACAGAGACCATCTTTCAAAAATTAAATACCATATCTTATTTTATAGATATTTAAATGAGAGAAAATGAATCAAAACAATATATACTAAAATTAAATCCTTAACACAGTTTATATCTCTATCTTTTTAAAATAAACACAAATAAAAACATTTATGAATTTTCTAGTAGAAATAGTGAATTAGTAACCAATGTAATTAATATGCCTTTTATGTAATTACATATTATAAATGCACTCTTCACTGTTCATCCTTGCACATTCATCCATTTCTCTGTACATACAATATAAGATTTATTAGAAACCTGAAAAAGCTAAATTAACAAACTGTATTTGGATTTACCAATATAATTTTAAGACTTATTAAAATGTCTGAAAATTCTAATTACATCTAACACAAATACTGTTAAGAATAAAACTCTTTATGTAAATTTTAGATCAGCAATTCCAGCTTCCTCTTAGATAAACATATAAAATGGTTAAACAATACATTTCTATGGCAACAAGTTAGGTTCTAGGATATTCTTAGTTACAGAAACTACTACTTTCTTTAAAGCAATGGAACTAAATAAAATATCTTATTCTTTTTTCTTTTTTCCATTAGACCTGACCCAGATCTCTTCATCTCTTTGATGAATTAAAAAAGAATGATTTAACTGGAAACAAGATATCTCAACTAATACAAATGTCAAGTAGTATTATATGAACATTTTATGTAAAAGTGAAATAAAAAGAAGATGCTAAGTACTCCTAAATGAAAGAGACATGGTAAGAACATGTGGATTATGTGTCCTGCAAACTAAATATATGTATAAATTTTAATTAAATACAAATCTATTAAGCTCACACCTAATATAAAGTGGCAATAATAGTATATCAAAATAGTAAACAACCAGGTATGGTGGAGCACGACTCTAATCCCACTTGCTCTGTAGGCTAAGGCAAGAGTTCCAGGTCAGTCTGGGCAACTTAGCAAGACTCTGTCTCAAGATAAATATGAAAAAGCTGTGATGCAGTTCAGTGGTTGAGCACTTGTCTGTCATACATGAAGCCCTGGGTTTGATTCCACTTTAATGTAACAGAAACAGTAGTATCATACTAAATTATCCTGTGGTTTTGAAGATTAAGCTGAATAATTATGTGAAATGGCTGCACAAAAACTATTAAAGTTACTATTTTAAAAACAATGGTACCCCTTCAACCTTGGCTTCTACTTAGTAATTCCTTTTTAATCAGGATGAGGAAAAGTTGTTGTCCCTGTGCAAACCTTCTGAGAGGTCTAGTTTCTGGAATTATACTAGTCATACATCAGTTTTAAAAATTACTACCCTTCCTCAGTAGACATCTTTTTTAAATGCCACCTTCCAACAAAGTCATTGTTTCTATACCTGCCTTTTCCCCCCCTTCTTTGGGTCATAATGTTGTAGAATATATGGCTCTCTTCTCCAATTTTTCTATCACAAACAAATCCTTTGGTTCTTATCAGAAAACCATTCATTTTTTTCATAAAAGAAGTAAAACCTTCAAAATAAAAATAAATAAATAAAAAACAACCCATAATATTTGTCAGAGGATAGTAGATCCCAGTTTTACCATATGAAATGCAGTCCAGAAACAAAAGAACCAAGAGAAAAAAATGATGAATGGCCTTAGGAACTGTCATGGTTTATCATAAAGATTTTATTTTAAAAATGTTAAAATAAATAGTACATAGTCCAGAACAGCATTGTTCTGGGAAATTACTTCCCTTTAGAATATGAGTTCTAGATGGCAAATCTATTTAAGACTGGTTCTGGACTTTCATCTTTCATTAGGTGACTTAGAGTTCTATACTTTTTTTTTTCCTTTTTTCCTTCCTTCCTTTTTTTTTTTTTTTTGTCTATGGTCTGAAAGTTTTTTTTTCTTTTTTAACATACTTCTCAAGGGTGGATATGTGGTGGAATGAAAATCCCATCAATATGTGTGGGTTTTGTAGCCTAGCTGTTCATAAAATACACTTGCTTAGAAATCCCAGAGGAATGTGACTGAGGCCAGAATTGCATTGGTTCATATGATTCAAATACTTCAATGCTTTTCTTGTTAATTACTGGGCCACAACCAGAAATCCAGATGATGGGAGAGAAACACTTCTTTAGGATAATGATTGATTTCCATAAAGATGAGTGCTTTAACAAATTTCAATATGCAGTTGCTGGGGCGAGGAGGGTGGGTGGACGCTAATTAGTTTTACCGTTTTCAGCAGATGTTGGATTCAAAATGCCAGCAGCATCTCAAATGCCAGTCATTAGGGCTGTCTTTCATGGAGGAGTGCTGACCAATGAAATCTCCACTCCGTTTAATGAGACCGATCTAGGCAGAATCAATTAAATCAAATCTCTCCTAACATCCTTAATATATCTGCAGTGTAGGCAGCACCAACAAAAGCAGCAGCCAGGGATTTCCCGTATTAATAAAGGGATTCACTGCCGCATTAAGAGAAGGGGGCAGGGAGGAAGTGTGTTGGAGGAAGACCTTACTTAGTGGACGGGAGAAAACCCATAAAGTCTGAGCAGGGGCGGGGGTGGGGACTGGGGAAAGAGGAGCTACATAAAGGGTGAAAGGCTAAGGCGATTAGAGAAAAGAGCCTTAATGTAGCTCAAGAAGGGGATCCACCCCCAACCCTTTCCCTCCCCCCTCCCTTCCACCGCAAATCCAATTTACCAGTTGCAAATATAAGCTGGAAAAATGTAAGGACCCAGATTTGAAAACATTTTCACTTTAATACTGAAAAAATATGCCATTATAAAATCCTCGAATAGAATTAGTAAGTTTCACGTGCTTCCTTGGTTCTTCTTTCCTACTTTATAAGTAAGATTTATACCAGCACAGAATTGCTACCATATGATCGCAGCCTAAGCACTAGAGTGACATTAATTGGTCATGCTTAACTGCCTCAAAATCTTTTTTTTTCTTAAATAATTACACTGGTACTATAATAGAAATCATGGGTACTTATTTTACATTCAGATGGAAGGCATTATTGGATATGTATAGAAAAATATTACCCCTCAAAAAAATAAAATAAAACATTACCATGAAAATAAAAGAACCCAAAACAACCCCTAAAAACTTCCCTCAACAAAATACATTGCTAACTCATAAAATGGACTGATGATTAGCCATGCAAATGTCTTAAATAAAACCTTTACATTTTTTTTTCACAGTAAACATACTCTTGGAACTGCCTACTGATCACAAATAATGGCGAAATGGCACTTTCTGATTATACTGTATTTTGTTTATAGAAAGTTTGATGATGGGACTTATCAGGTAAGAGGATGGGTGCTGTGAAGGAGACGCCATCTCCAGTTGCTGGGAGGAGCAGGGGGGGGGCGGGGGGCGGGCAGAGTCCCTGGAGCGCGTGGATTCCATGCGAGCCATGCAGCACTTTTCGTTTGTCAGAAGTCAGTTACTTATTTACAATACATTCATGCCTTCGTGCAACTGCCCATCCCTGCGTAGCCAACAGGGAGCCATCATGGGGCTGTCCACAGGGGAAAAATAGATATCTATCTCTCTATATAGATGTGGATATATGTATATATGTATAGAACTGCGGCAGCCATCCCCACAGGTCCTTGCCCGGGGTAAGAGCACTGTCAATTCTTCTGGCAGAGCCCAGGCTGGGCTTTCACTCAAAAGGACCTCAGAGCATAGAGCAAGCTAGTTGAGCGCTCTCCCAGCTCCGCACAGTCTGCTCTTTGTTTCCAGAAGGGAGCTGCTATGAGGTCAGACCCCTTCAGTTAAGTGAGTTTATCGTTATTTATTTACTTATGTCCATCAAGGCTTGGGGCAAGCTGGATTTGGGTTCAGCGCTCCTCTAACCCCTGGGATGCCGGCGGTAGGGGAGGATGTTTATCGCTTTCCGGCTCCCCTCCCCTGTTAGGGTTGAGGACTTAGTCCGAGAGCGAGTGAGAGCCACAGTCATACACTCTATGGGACCCGTCTGCGTTGTAAGGCCCATTGTGCCAGTAGGAAGAGTCACAGACTGTCTGTAGGGAATTAATTTCGGACGCCGAGGAGTTGGCATCCCTTCTCTTGGACCGCTTTCGGTTCCTCAGGATAAACACGAGCATGCCCACCACGGTGAAGGCGGAAGTGACAAACACCAGCAGCAGTCCCGGGACCAACACCGAGATGGACACCCTGCTGGTGTCTAGGTAGGAGTTGGAGTGCGTCCCGGTCTCCGCCAACCCAGTGCTGTTTTTACTGTGCGAAGCTAACGTGGGCGAGATCCTCGCATACAGCTGGGGGCAGATCTCGTCATTAGAGAGGAGCATGAAATCCTTTCTAAAGAAGTTCACAGGCGTCTCACACTTGAGGTCGCTCATCAGCACTTCGGAACCCAGGCGTTCTGCCCATTGTTTGAAAGGCACAATGGTGCAGGAACACTCCCAGGGGTTTCCATGCAGATCTATCTGAATGATGGAGGTTAACTGGTCCAGTACCCCTGCCACCGGGAGGTACATAAAGTAATTGTTGTGCAGGCTGAGCTTAGAAAGCGAGACCCCAGCGAAAACGTCCACGGGGAGGGACCTCAGCAAGTTGTTGTTGAGAATGAGGATCCTCAGTTTGGGCATGGCATTGAAAGTGCCGGGGAGAATGAGCTGGATCGCGTTGTACTCCACGTTCAGGTACTCTAGATTCTGCAGTCCAGCGAATTTCTCCCGGGACAGCGTGTCCAGATAGTTGCTATCCATATACAGCCACCTGAGGTCCAAAAGGTTCTTGAAAGTGTTATTCTCCACGGTGGCGATGTTATTGTTGCCCAGATCCAACAAAATGAGATTCTTGTAATCCACAAAGTGAGATTTTCGGATGCTGTGGATCTTGTTATCTCGCAGAAAAAGCTCCTGCACGTTGGAAAGCTTGGGCTTCAAATCAGCCAAACTGCTCACGTTCCGGTTGTTGCAGTTCATCTTTAAACCCGACCCTGGGATGTGGTCGCAGCTGCAGCCCCCAGGGCAGGGCAAGCCATTGACTGGGGGTTTGTTTCTGGCGCTACCCGTTGCTATCGCTGTTGTGGGTTTGATTTTGATCTGCCAGTTGCCTGGGATCTTTGTACCTCCATTTGGAGCAGACCCTGGGGTGATATGATCCTCTTGCCCATTTGTCTTGAAAGGAGTTGGCAAGGGGCCAGGAACAAAGGTCTCTTCTTGGGCAGGGGGCGCCGGGAGACTAGAATCCACTCGATTTTTCAAAGGGCACAAGTCCTGTTCGGTGGTTTCATTGAGGTCTTTACCCTGTAGTCTGGTGGGGGCTTCGCAGACCACTCGGCCGATCAGGGCATTTTTGGGAATGTTTTCCAGCCATTCTTTCAGGGACAGCAGATCACACGTACAGTCCCAAGGGTTATCCTCTAGCAGGATCTCAGCAATGCCAGGGATTTGCTCCAAGACCTCCTCATAGGGCAGCGTTTTCAGCCTGTTCCCCCGGAGGTCGAGGTGGGTGATGGGCACATATTGGAACACATTGGCAGGTAGGGTACTGATAAGATTGTCATTTAAAATGAGTACCTCCAGCTTGTTCAAGTCCTGGAAAGCTCCGGGGTCTATATCCCGTAATAAATTAAAATCAGCCTGGAGGTATTCCAAATCGTCCAGCCCCAAAAAAGTCTGCTTTCGAAAAGACTTGATCTTGTTGTTGTTGATGTGTAGCCTTTTCACCAGCTGCAGCCCCAGAAAAGCCCCCGGAACGATTTCATGCAAGCCATTGTTTTCCATATGCAAACTAACTGCATTATAAAAGTTAGCGAACTCATTAGGGAAAAGTCTAGTGAGGGAATTGCCATGCAGAAATAAATGGTAAAACTGGGAAGTCGGGGCGGTGAAACGCTGCAGACTTGTAAAGCCCTTTTTTTCACAGTCTACGTGTAGGTCCCCTTCTATCTCATTGCAGGAACAGATCTTCTCTTTGCAAACGTCCCCTGTAACGTTTCCAGCGGCAAAACAAAGAGACGTCTCCAGCAACAGAATCCAAAGCAGCATTTTTAAAGCGAGCAATTCATCCCCGATCTCATCACAAAGTAACAGCAACCATCCTGCTCGCCACAGACACAATTCAAGTTCATTTAGTGCTCCAATGTCCGAACCCAGGGAAGGAGAAGAAAAGGGTTTGGGGGGGTGGGGGTGGATTCCTTCCTCCCTAACCCCCCCGCACTGCAATAGCCCAGACGCCAGTCAATAATTATATTCACAAACTATTCAGGCACGTAGTGCAAGGCAAGCAAAAAAAGAAAGAAAAAGAAAAAAGGAAAAAAAATTCTACTCTACCTCAAACCTTTAAAGATAGCCCCAAAGAAGTTAAGTATATACATATAAATTAAAAATATACCCTTACAGATCCTGTCTAGAGGTCCTCACTAATAAGAAAGGGAACAATGCTAGTAATTAGAAGCAAGTGCATGTTAGAGAAACAAGCAGGTTTGCAGCGTAGTACAGGCGCACTGCCTGTGCATGGCTGTGCGTCGGACTGACCTTGCCTCTCTGATACAAAGCAGGCTTTTCGGCGGCTTCTGTTGTTGAGGCTGCTGGTGGAGTTCTTGCTGTGGTTGCGGGTTGCCCAGAAGTCCCCCCGAGGTGCTGTCCAGTCCCCCCGGTGCTGAAATCACGCCCGACCAAAGGACTCACGCTGCCCAGCCAATGGCGCTGGAAAATTTCCGCAATCGCTGCGTTTTGTGGTTGTCCATCCTTTCCCTTTCCTCCCCTTTGAACCTCTTCAGGCTTTTTTTTCCCCCTGTGCTTCCACTCTCGCTTACTCGCTCCTCTTTTCTTGTTCTCCTCTTTCTTCTGCTCTTTCGGAATTACGTGGAGGGGGGAGGAGAGAGGGGGAGCTAGTTGTCTGAGGGAGGAAGAGAGCGCGAGAATGGGGCGGGGGGTGGAGGGGGGGAGTTGCTAAGAAGCTCTGCTCGTTCCAGCCTGGTGCACTCTGAAAGATCTGACACCCTCTGCTGATCTGCAGTAGCAAAAATCCATCTGGTGAGGGAATGCTGAAGAAAAAAAAAAATCAATCCACGTACAGGGCAAGCGTTAAAAATGTGGGCATTAAAGGCTGTCGATCTACATAGACGCTTGTTTTAAATGGATTATTTAATTCTTTTTGCGTGCTGAAAACTTTACCCTTTCCTTTCCTTAACAGCCTCACAGCCCCCGCTAGCTGTATCGTTCGGAAAGCAGTGCTTTTAAAACATTTATTTCCCAATGGCTTGAATAAAATTAGTGTCAGGGTGTCAAGCGAACAGCAATTTGAGGTAATTATACTGCACGCCATTTTCATCGGTGCTTTAAATGCATTTCTGCCTTCTCTGCGGTACAGCGTTTTATGCTATTTGATGTTTTTGAAACCTTTTTTTTTTTTTTCTTGGCATGTTGAAAGTGGCTATTCGGAACATACATTGCATAATATCACAACTAGGTATGAAATATTTGTTGCAAGCTATATGATTTAAGCATACTCTTTTCCTTTTTAAAGTTTCTGTAGAAATTCACTCAATTTGGTCCTTGAGAGTTAGGTTTTTCTGATGATTTCTTGAATGTTATTTAAGTCTGCAGGATGGATATACAATGCATGCGTCTGTCTGTCTTTTGATTCCAGACCCCGAATCTTTCACTGAGACCTGGAAAAGGAGAGGGAGGACAGGAAAAAAAAATCCCAATTCGTGAGTGTTCTTGACCCACTGTCAGGCAGGCGGGTGTACAGCAACACACACACACAGACATCCACCCAC